TTGGTGAGGAGTCGGCTGGTCAGAGAGGTAGGAGGGGGCAAGGACATGGATGGCCTTAAAGGTGAGGATGAGGATCTTGAATTCGATCCTCTGGGGGATGGGGAGCCAGTGGAGTCGGGCGAGGGTGGGACTGATGGGGTCACGGAGCCTGGTGAGTGAGAGTACACGAGCTGCAGAGTTTTGGATGATCTGCAGTTTGTGAAGGGAAGAGTTGGGAAGACCGATGAGGAGGGCGTTCCCGTAATCGAGCCTTGAGGTGACAAATGCGTGGGTGAGGGTTTGGGGGCCTGAGGAGTGAGGCAGTGGCGGAGTCTGGCAATGTTGCGGAGGTGGTGGTGGGCAGTGCTGGTCATGGTGTGGATGCGGGGGAGAAAGGACAGTTCAGGGTCAAACAAGACACCCGGGTTCCTGACCGGCTTAGTGAGCCCAACCCCCTCCAGTGGGAAAGATCTGTGAGAGGAACAGCAAGATTGGGAGAAAGTCGAAACACAACAACAACAACAACAAGATTCCATTTATAGAGCGCCTTTCACGTCAGGAGGACGTCCCAAGGCGCTGCACAGTTGGGTCATGACCCGAGCAGGGGGGAAATGGTCAGGGTGAGGGGAGGGAAGGGAGGGAGGGAAGATTTCTTTCTTTTTTTTAAAACAAAACGGTTAAAAATGAAAAGAAAAATCCCATGGGAGCAGTGTACTGGCTAACCATCTCTTTCATGGCATGAAGTTAACAAAGGTGCAGAAATTGAAGGTTAGGCCTTTGCTCAACGATTGCGGCGTTTTGGAAAGACAAAGAGAACAATTACACAAGAAGCAATTTTTAATTTCCTTCTGTGTCCTGTGGTTAGCAATCATTTCAATTGCCTGTATTGTCTAACAGCGTTAGACCAGCTACACCACTGCTCCCTGCGCTTCAGATGCACATCGCTCTCTTTCTCTACTCCTTCCATATTCCGTTACGTAGCAACCAGCAGAACAGACATCAGAGGGACACTATTATTAACTTCTAAAATATTTCATGAGGGCTTGTGATAAAAGACCCAGACTGTTTGCAATAATAATTACACCAGGAGAAACAAAATCGCAACTTTCTCTTTCTGTTCAAAGTCGAAGTGCAAACCTCTCCGTTCACCCTGTCAATCTACCAACACGAACCCAAATAACTATATATATAATATATATATATCTCGCCTACAAATGTACGTTCAACGTTTTGCCTAATTGCAGGAAGAAACGCAGCATTCAGTGAGTGCTCTGCAAAGCTGCCCACTCCGCACAATGTTTTTGAAGCGTATAATAATTTAAGGAGCAATTGATAAGAAAGGTGATGCCTTTTGTCTTTTTGATATACACCGTCTCCGAGCTCCATTCATCTTCACCTGTCNTTTTTTTTAACACACTGTGGTCTGGTATGTAAGTAGCCGGGAAGGGGGAGACAGAGACTGGGACAAAGTACCTGCACAAAGAAAGAGACGCACGGAAGGAATGAGAGAAACACAGCCATGTAGAAAGTGAGAGGATAATAACAACATCTTGTATTTATATAGCGCCCTTCACGCGGGGAAGTGTCCAAAAGCGCTTGATGGTGACAGAATCTGACCCCGACCCAGGGGGAGAGGGATGGGGGAGGTGACCGTAAGCACCATCGTAAAGGACGGTCTTTAGGCGGGATTTGAAAGTGGGGGGCAAGGCGGAGGGTTTGAGGGAGAAAGTACCATAGTTTTGGGGTGTAGTGGCTGAAGGCACGGCTACCGATGGTGGAACGAAGGTAACGAGGGACAAACAGGAGGCCGGAGCCAGCCGAGCAGAGGCGTGAGTGGGGCGTAAGCAGGTCAGGTAACACAGACAGTGTGGAAGAGAAACAGAAGCCGGTAATGTGTGTGTGCATGTTCATACGCACACACACTCGCGCACACACACACATGCGTACATAGAAGCACAGCCTCATAGACATGAAGAGAAGGAATCACATAGAGAAAGAGAAATAATTCCCAGACACATTGTGAAAGATATAGAGAAACAAGAATAAGTGGACAAATTGCTACGAGCTGGGAACCTTGACTCTTATTTCATCCGTGCATATTTGTGCTCATTATATTCTCCTGCATTCCTCTTCTGAAGTCATCGAATTCCCTGACTGGTTTACAGTGCCCAGGGCCACAGTCACAGCGTGACTTCCAAGAGGTTTGGAAACACTCTGGGACGCTACACCACGTGAAAGGTGCTAAGTAAATGCAAGTTGTTGCTGCTGGAACAGAAGTTAGCAACCCTGGAACTGCTGTGATTATTCTCAGGGAACTTCCCGGTTGCTTCACTAGGAGGCGCTCAGTTAAATGCTAGAACGATAAGGTTCCTTAGAAACTTCATTCCTGCTTTCCTTCGGTCTCACATTTTATCTCCCTTCATATACTTTTTTTTACTGACGGCTGCAATTCTTTCTTTATTACTTCCCCCGTGGTTCACACATTGAGAAGTTCCTCCCACACACTCCAAACACAATTTCTTCATTGCTTTACTCCGTTGCCTCTTCCAATATTTTCCATTCAGTTCCCCAGTACTAGAAGCCGTGCCAGCAGTAACATCAGGCTATGACCGGGGACACACTTGAGCCCAGCCGTTAATAAATATCACCTACATATATACAGTCACTATACTCTACAGTAAAATCCTGTGACTTGTTTGGTAATCTCTCGAAGGCGTGATAAGATAGTACATCAAATGCAAGAACGATTATTATAATTATTATTATTATTCACACTCAAACAAATGCACACAAAATAAAGTTTGGATGCATTGCCAAGCTTTATGTGTTGAGAAATAACATGTGCTTTGCTTCCCAACATGGAGAGGACACTTGTCTTCCATCTTATCAACATCTGAAGTGGCCTTGTGATAAACAGTCTTGATGCGCTGTGAAGACCCAGTTTCTTCAGAGGAATGTCAATGTAAATTCATTAACTGCAGGGAGCGCTGGTGAAGCCAGGGTAAAGCAGTGAGAGAACCTGGGTTGTTAAGAAGCTGCAACAACGCAAAGATTACATTCTCTGACAGTTCTCATGCTGTGGCTAATCAAGCTAGTCAAAAGCTAATTTGTTTCGAAGGTTAACTTGTCCGCATGTCTAGTCCTCACAGAGGAAGCTGCCTAATACAGTACAGCCAAAGTCATTTGTGGCATTTTTCAACCAATAATTCTGCAACTGTAACCGGACTGAATGTATTTTCCGCGGGTCAGAGTGTAATGGAAGCAAATAAGCTTGTGTTGCTGAGAACACCGAGCCCTTCAATTACACAGTCAGCTGTCGGCCGGCTGAGATGTGCAGAAACCAAACCTTTCAAAGCATAAATGCGGAACGATCTCAACATCAGAATTGGTGGGTGAAAGGTGCTAGAGTGACACGAGCTGTTGCTGTACAACAGGCCAATGCATGAAATCCACTCAGTTCTGGATATACTCGGTAGTGGCCTTGCTATGTAAATGTACCAGTGTCACAAGCAGCTTGGTCAGCGACTGGTGAAACGTCACAAGATTACAGGACAGGCTTTGGAAGAAGGCCCATCGAATCCCATCCTTCCATAATGCCCGCCCAACCGTCGCCCCATCATTTGCCCATTAATGCCCATCGAGTTTGAATGGCAGAGATTTAAATCGGTGGTCTCCTGCTTAAAACTTTTGTGTCCCTCCGGTCTGCAATTCCACCTCGTCTTAGCTTGCGACGCCAGCTTCCAAATTAAAAAAGAATTTAAGAATTTTTTACGTTTCCGTGTGATCTTAAAGACAAAGTGGTCTTACAGGCTAAGACTAAGTGGATTTTCGGTCACTGAGTGTTCAGCCATTTTGCCCCCACTCCTTGTAACTAAATCCCTTTGCCTCACCCCTCTCTCTCCACCTTTAAACCCCATCTTTCTTTTCAGTCTTTTAGTCACATCCCCCCCCACCCCACCCCAGGCTCCCAGACAGCTCTGTAAAGGGAAGGGCTTTGAGATGTCCCATCAATGTGAAAGGCATGATATAAATTGCTGCTTCCACCTCCAGTCACATTAAAGAGACACAAGTCAACAATTTCAGCGCTGCAGTCCCAGCCGCCCATACCAACCTCGAAAATAACAAGCAAGAGAGGGCCAGCATTTTGTTTCCATTACATCCTGGCACAAGTCCACAGCTCCTAAGCTGCTGTGCCATGTGCGAGTGGTTTGGAAAATCAATAATAATAATAATAATAATCCTTCCATTTGATATAGCGCTTTTCACGTCGGGAGGACGTCCCAAAGCGCTTCACAGAACACACTGTAAAATGAATTGACTGTATATTTGCGGGCGAACGCGGCAGCCAATTGCGCAGAGCAATGTCCCACAAACAGTCGTGGATTGAAAATGACCAATTTATTATTATTTTGGGTTTTGGAGGGATTATTATTAGGCTCTGTGTGGAGTAAGGAAACTTGCCCAAGGTTTCACCCTGCTTGGAATTGAACTCAGGTCTCTCGCTTGCAAAGCGAGTGCTCCAACTACTGAGCTACAGGACTCCACAATGGATCAAAATCCTTCCCAACGTACAAAATCCCAACAGGTAAATCCCCACCCATTGACTCACTCACACTGTGTGGCATGTTAATGAATGAAACCACTTTCTATTCACACAAACTATGTAGGATTTCCATTCCATGTGTCACATCCATGCATGTATAATCCTGGGCCAGGAATAAACCGTTCCCTTGTTCTCCTTATTTTAATGCTTAGTGACCCAATAAAGTCAGTCCCCTGGTGAGTTCCTTGTGAACGCAGCAAGTCTGTGAAGAGTGAACCGATTTGCTGAATGACTAACGCCAAAGTATTTGGGTTGCAAAGATCTGAAAATTGGGACCTCTCAATCCGGTTACTTAAGAACCTTTGAGCAAGCAGAATATTCCGCACGTGCTTGATCAAGGATTACATTCCCAGATATCCTCGGCTACTTCGGGAGATGGTTTGCAACTGCGGAGGAAATTGGGATAATGGATACTCACTGAGGCAGCTGTGGCCATAATGCACCATGAAATCAGCTCCTAGGGCTCGGGCGGTGTAATCATCCACACAGCACGCGCCGTACGTGACATCGCCCATCACCAATGTGTCCGCTTCTGTAAACCTGTAAACCAACACCAGGAGCGAGAGATCAGTTCACTTTGCTAAACACTTACATACACGCACACATACACACACACACATATACACACAAGTACACACATATACACACACATTTACACACACTTACACGCATACACACACACATACACACAATACATGTACACAAACACACATATTTACACACACATACACTTAAACACACACGTACACACACATACACAAACACACAAATACATACACACTTACACACACACACACACACACACCAGGAGCAAGAGTTCAATTCACTTTACTAAATGGACAACGTCTCAACGGGGACAACAAACTGTTGCATGAAAGCAAGTCACTTACAAATCCCAGGATTATAATAACCATAATAATTCTTACATTTGTGTAAGATTAACTTCACGTCAGTTTTTTAAAAAAAATAAAGCTCATTCTCAAGAGGGTGAGGCTGGCAGGGCCAGTAATAGATTCCCAGTCACTACTCCCCTCGAGAAGGTGGTGGAGGGTTTTGCAGTAGTCCTTCACTATGAGGTTGTGGAAAATAATAGACATGAATGATCAGAACTGAACCGAATTAAGAAGTGTCTTATATGGGGAATTCAGAGATACCTGAAAGAGGTCATTTACTGAGCTATTCATATGATGATNAAAAATAACCCTCAAATTTGATGTAGCACCTTTCATGTCAGGAGGATGTCTCAAAGCGCTTGCCAATATTTACTATAGGGTGGAGTGACTGCACATTTAGTAGGTGAATGCAACAGTAGTCCGGTTTCTGGGCCAGGCAGGTCCACCGTATTCCAGGGCACTGCTGAATGACAGCACAGGCTGGAGCTGCAAGGGCAGGGACTTACCACTCAGCTCCTGTTAACCCTGCAAGCCAAAGCCCTAACCGATAGGGTGGTCCTAGCTGGTCAATCAGCACGAAAGCTTGCCAGGCAGTGCTATCAATGGCAAGCTATGCGGTTATAGCTGGTTAGACTCCAGCAGTTACCCCAACGCACGCTCCCCAAGCCTTAGCTCTTGCCAACCTGCGCCTAATACTTTCCGTAATTAGGTAAGCAGGATGCGTCCCTCCAGGGAGAGAGCACGTATTCCATTTCAATAAACATCTCTGGAATTTCCACATAGAGGTGGGATGCATGGAAATCTCAGTTTGATTTGGTTACAATTAAGCACGTTGATGGGTTTTCTGCATGTGTCAGACACTCTCCTGACACAAAAAGAATCAAATGCAAAGATTATTATTCTAGGATTATAAAGCAGATTCAACCTGAGTGTTTTATAATGGGGTAACCCTGTACTAGTTGCAATAAAACCTGCACATCAGGTACAAACAGCAAGACATAAAGAGAATAGATCTGCATGAAATCTGGAGTAAGCATTAACAACAAACCAGTCAAGGTTAAACACATGTTTTACTGTAAAATACCTTGAAAGTTATTGTGGTTATTTTTGACTCCCGAATTGTGCGTTGCTCGAATTTTCCAAAGACCCTACTCTACATGTCTCTGTAAGCAGTTGTCTGGATTAACTGGTCCCTGGGTAACCTCAGCTACAGGAGATACATATGCATCAGTTTATCCAGAGAGCTGGCAGCAGAGATGTGTCGGATAGTGTCTCCAGAGCTTCAGACAATGCCGTTACAGCTGCAGAATGCTTTCTGGGGTGTGAGCAACTCATTTAAATACTGACAAGGACGAGGCTGCTTTCATATCCACATGTAGTGGGTTCCCTTAGGCTGCCCGTCAGAAAGGTTAAAGGATTATTTACTGCTATCAATCTGCATTTCGAGGGGGTGCTGTTGAGGAGGTTGGGGAGGAAGAGAAGGGACAAGGTAATTATGTCTGTAGTTACAGCTCATTTGTTGAGCATCTACACATAGATGAAGTGTCCACTTTACTAATGAAGGTGATCAGCTAGCGAGGTTGTTAAGAGCTCTTGAAATTTAAATGTTGCCCTCGTCACAAGGAACAAAACCGAGTTCACTTCCACCTGAAGTGACCCCAGGTGCGAGATGTGGTGTGTGACGAGGCAGGGTCGAATTCCAAGCAAAGGAGTTGGGGGAGGTAACCATGGGCATGGTCGAAGTGGTAGGCTTCAAGGCAAAACTTGAAGACAGGAAGAGAGGGGAGACTAGACAACAACAACACAACAATAACAACCTGCATTTATATGGCACCCCTCACGCAGGGTAGAATCCCAGAGCACTGGGAGACGAGACAGAGGAGTAGAAGGAGGGAGTTCCTGAGGTTACATACATGAGTTCAGTGTTGACAGTTTGGTTGACCACAACACCTTCTTTAGCTGTAAGATACCACCTGCAGAATTTGTTGGGTGCCTATTTCGGACATCCAACAAATTAAAGACTTGCATTTATATTTTAACATCTTTCATTGAACAAAAAAAAGTCTCAAACCCAGTGTCACCATCAAGCACTCGCAAACACCCTTTTAGTCCCTTGTTGACGTCACTTACAGTGACCGCCATGACAGCCGACAGAGCGAGCAAGTTCGTCTGAGTTGCAAGAACCTGACACTGGTGATCGACAAACCTATTGAAGTCTCACTGGTAAAAGGCAATGTCGCGTTGCGTCCCGTTACCGAACCGCGGTAAAGAGAAGTCAACGGGAGACGGAAAATGGCACAGTAGAAAACGTTTCCAATTCCACAGGACCCGTGGAGTAAATTGAAGCGCTTGTAGCACAAGTGTTTTGTCAGTAGAGGGGGCACTACTAAATTCACAGCTCACTGAGGGTCTCAGGTGGCAGAAACCCCAAATTGTAGTACTGTGGCGCGTGGCAGAGCCCACGCAGAGCTGGAGAAGTTTGGACAGGATCAGACCTGGGCCAGCATGCCCGGAAATTGGATGACAACGCTTCAATGTATTCAGCGTGTAGGTGTACGTCAGGTCTTGGGACACAGTATTCCCAGGCATTTCCCCCCCCCCCCAATCTGTTCCGTTTGACTGACCTGTAGCCTTGTGTATCGCTGCAAAACACTGATTACTGCGCCCCTTGTTGCAATTTCTAAAACAAACCAGTTTGACCTTCAGTTCAATGTATTTACTAAACCGTCCGCTCTGCATTTTGCCAGCTAAATACACAGAGTACAAACAGTATTCGCCAGGTTTGGTGTGCGCGAGGGTGTCTGCAATAGCACTGAGACTGCAATTATCCGGACGCCTGAAGGAACTTTCTACTGTTATCACATTAATGCCGAACCGAGCAAAGCTACTAAATGCTAACATTTCTGCTTCACAAGTGCCTCAAAGCGATGTGAGACTGGAAGAAAAGACTGAAAAGAATTTGACACAAGCAATAAGGCAGCAGACGCAATGCACACCTTGGAAACCACTGCTATAATCCAGGCTGAGTATGGAACGGCAGGACTATGAATCGTGAGTTGTGGACTGAAGGGGCTACTACCTGCCTTCTACATAAATCATTCCTTCCATATATAGAAGCAAGCGGTGACATTTTTTAGCCATCAGCCAAGCATCACCCAACGCCCATACACTTTCCAGCTGTGGTCTACTGGGCAGCAGTCATCTAACCAAGGCTCTTTAGCACCTTGGCTCTTGAGGAAAGAATGAGGTCCACTGGATCTCAATCCAGAGACGGCTGATGTTGACTGCCCAGGCCTGTACGCAGAAAGATGCCACTTGGCATATAATAATAATAATCCTTGCATTTGAGATAGCGCCTTATCATGTCTTCGAGATATCTCAAAGCGCCTCGATACCTAAGAACGACTGACTAGATTGAGGGAGAAAACAAAAGCTCAAAGGCACCGATTGCAAAATTACAACCCACGTCTGCTCAACTTTGTGACCTAGCACACAGAGGTGGGATGCACTCCGAGATCCGCTGATGGATTTTCCATCCCAAGAACATTGGAGAAGACCTAATGGTGAGGGGATCGTCAACTGCCTCATTATCCTTGGTTAATCAGGTAATTCACTCGTCATAGTTGCTCATGCTGTCAGTTCTGGGCAAGAGGGCTGCAGAGTTCCCTTCAGGTCTTCAGCTCAGTGCAACACACCAGTGGGGGAGCCTGCCATCATCAGAGATGCCAACCTTCAGATGAGTTGTTAAACTATGGTCCTGTCTGTCTATTTCAAAGTTCACTGAAGATCCCATTTGAAAAAAAGGAGGTTGTCTTGGCCACCAATGCTCCAGATTGGCTATTTACCTATTGCTTGGTTGTGGGACTTCTGCTGTTGCATTTATCTACAGTCCAAAATCTCTAGAGTTGGCATTAATTCCCGAGAAGCATTTTGAGATATTCCTACATTATAATAATAATCCTTGCATTTGATATAACGCCTATTGCCCACAAAATATACCGTCAATTCACTTTATAGTAAATTCTGTGAAGCACTTTGAGACGTCTAGAAGACGTGATAAGGCGCTATATCAAATGCAAGTATTATTATTATTATCAGGTCTTCCAGATGTCTCAAAGCGCTTCACAGAATATAATGTAAAATGAATTGACTGTATGGGCATTATATACCTCTTATGCACACTCTAGGGTCGCCAAACCTTGCCAACCTGCGCCTGTGCCTAATGCTCTCAGGAATTGGGTACACAGTATGTATCCCTCCATGTATAAAGTGTTCATTCCATTCCAGACCCAGGGACATTTCCATATGTAGATGGCACACACACGTGCAGCTCTCAGTTTGGTTTGAATGCTCTGAAGCATGGTGATAGATTTCCACGTGTGTCAGACACCCGACTAGCCAACAAAAAACACAAGCTCTTCTCCCTCTCAATGAAATAAGTATTTCTCAACGAAATGATCATGTTGTAATCCGTAGAGGAACAAGAGGCAGAAAAATACAATTCATTGGAATGGCTGTACAACCCCTCTACTGTGTATTGTTCCTATTTTGGCAGCACCTATGGAGAGAGGAAAGTGAGTTAATGTTTCAGGTCGACGACCTTTTGTCTGACAAAAGGTCATTGACCTGAAATGTTAACTCACTTTC